CTAGTTACTGGTGAAATGATGTAGAAAGGTATTGCACAGCTCTAGAACATTGTATTATTTGAAGGCCATCTTTCAAAGCTTATTTTTGCTTTTGATTGAATTTGAATTTTCCATTTTTGATAGATTTATTGGGTTTTCTTGCCCGTTAGGTAGCGCTCTTCCCCTATGTTGTTTACATGGACATTTTCTGAGCAATGTGAAATGACAGTAGTGTAGTTTTTGCACTTGATTAGACATCTATGGACTCACTGTATTAATTTTGTCAGTATCACTCCTGTCCATAGTCGTTTTTTTTTTTTTTTTTTTTTCGAATTATAACGTTTATTTAAAAAGTGGCTAGTCAATGAGTAGTGAGAAATGTTTAATAACAATTTGTTTGGAAGATAAATTTGAAAAGAACTTCAGTTTGCTGCTTCATCTATTGAAATACCTAATTATTGTTGCGTAGTCAGATGGTTGAATGTCATGGTTCTGTTGCTTTTAATGGCTTTCGGATATTAGAAACATCCTGTTTGCTTTGCAATATTTTCAACCTTGTTAACGACTATTGGGACTAAATTTGGTCTAGTTTGTTTTGCTTCTAGTGCCTCGTTATTTGTTTGCTTATGCGAGGCATATGTGTAAATGAATGTTATAGGTTTTGTACGTATGTGTTTTATAGTTGTTGTTCGGTACCTTGTCGAAATGGTTGGTAGAAGAATGAGAAGAAAAGCTGCAGTAGTATTTTCGAGTTATGACTTTTCTATTTTTTTTATTTTTGTTTCTTGTTTATTTGTGTCTTCTGAAATTGCTGCGAAACTTTGATCTCTTGATTTTACAAAGTTGTTTGCAACTGGTTAATTTATATTATATTTTCTTATTCTGTTATTGACAGTTGACTCGCTGTTGTTGCAGCTAAAATTTATATTGAAGGATCTGTACTTTTAAAACTAATTTTATTTAGCTATAAATGCATCAGGGTTGTTTTTTTTCTTTTTTTTTTTTTTTGTTTACTCTTATTGACTTACTTTAGATAGCAGAAACTCAGTATTGGTGGACGATGTAGCAACTCTGTGTGGTATGTTGTTTATATATGAATTTCGTTGATAGCTTGTAATCTTTTTGGTAAATACCGTCAGTTAGAAATGGTAGTTTTTTTAACTTGCAGTCATTCTTTATGTATACATTTATATAATTTTATGGCATAGTAGAGGAATAAACTCGGAAAGATGAGCACATAAAATAAATTATTGTTTTTCCAATTCTACTGCCTCTTTTAGCTCGTTTTTTTTTTTTTCTTTTTTTGATTCAGCAATCACTACTAATATACAGTGAGCATAGATTGATTTATTTGACCGGTATTTTTTATTTGGAAAAACTTCGAATAGTTAATACATTTTATTTAAAAAAAAAAAAAAAAAAAA